AATGTCCAGAAAGACTACGTCCACCGTGACACCTGCGTCCAAGAAGACCTCTGGAGCTTCCTTCCAGCCCTTCTTCTCTATGATTGTATGATGTGACCCACTGGAAAGTGCAGGGCGGTGGTAAGGGAGTCAAACTGTACTGACCTTAATAAGGATCAGGTCAGGACTATCCCGTCAGTTGCTCCAAAGGTCATGGAAACTTTGCTGAACACGCTCAAAGCTCATTTTTCCACTCATCATCCCAAAGGCAATGTTTCCAAGCCTGAGCTGAGCTTTGTGCAACCTTGCAATGTGTGTCTTGTGGGGAGAAGGAGAGAGCGGAAGTGGCATGCCACTTGTTCTGGGCTCATCTCAGGGCCGCTCGAATTTACCGTGTGGTTGTCATAGGCTGAAGGACTATCAGGAGGGCAGACAGAGGGGCCTGCCTGTCCCTGTGCTGATGGCAGTAGGGTAGGGGCAGTATTCCCCCGTGTGTTAGGGGTATTGTCCAGCGCAGATCCTCTGCCTGAGGATCCCCCCCTTTATGCCATCGGTGACTTCTGCCCCTGGCACCAACCCTGGGTCGAGGCTTGGAAGAGACCACACCACCCAGAAGCTTTTCCTCATTCAACACCCATTTTCCTTATCATGTACTCCCTTCACCCCTAGCTGAGCTCATGCGTGACCCCTGAACCCCCTATTTCTTTACATTTATGTCTTTCCCATTACAAAGAAACCTCAGGAGCATCAGTACCGTGAGGAAAGGCCGGACCCTTTGGAGAAAACACCTCTAATGTTGTCAGCAAATGATCAGCACTGTTCTTTCCCTTTCAGAGCGAGCTATTGCCAAGAGCCAGTATGTGGGGAGCAGGGTGCTTGCTTATCGCATCGACCACTTGCTGCCCAGCACGCAGTACAGGGTCAGCATTCGGCCCATGTTCAGCAAGTCTGAGGGCCATGAAGTGACTCTCACTCACCAGACAGGTAAGTCCTGATATCTGGACATCCTCTTGGCAGCCTATGACCTCTCACTGCTGCAACAGAGACCTCTCCTGCTCAAGCTAAAGAAGCAGCCCAGTTAGTTGGTGGCGGTAGTGGGTCTATGACATGCACTGTGTCAGTATGTTCACCAGGTCCTGCAGAGAGGCCTGGATTGGATGTAGGATTTCTGTGGCATCTAGCAAGGTTATTCTTGGAACCAATTTGTTAATAAAACAAGTCCCTGCTTACCTTGTGATATTTGGGCCTGTCCTTGATTCTCCTTCCCTAAGGTAGTTTTCACCCAATCCCAGAGCTCCTTCATGTGGAGGTAGGAGAAACTGGTGAGTGCACACGGTGCGCAGTGCTGATGACCTGCTTTGTCTGCAACAGTGAAAACGGTGGGTAATGTTTTTAGGCTGTTCTTGGCCCCATTAGAGTAGATTGCGTGGGGGAGTGGGATTTGCAGCTCCGGGTTGGTCTCCTTCTCCTTCCTTCGCTACTGCCGTTCCACCTCGGTGTCGAGCCGTTGAGCCTCAACATGGCACGCGCTTTGGTGAACCAGGTGGTGCCATACTGAACAGTCAGCAGCTTGCTCCTCCCAGCCGTTGGTGTCAATGCCTCTGTGCTTGAGGGTGACCTTGAACATGTCTTTGCACTGCTTTCTTTGGCCGCCTTCGAGCGTTGATCACAAGGCTGTGATGAAATCTGTGAAATCTACTCTAAGGGGGCCAAGACCAGCCTAAAAACATTACCCACCGTTTTCACTGTTGCAAACAAAGCAACATGTGCATCCAGAATCAGGCTCCTTAGTCACCTGAGGACCCATCAAGCCTGATGGATGTTATCCTCGACTCCAAGGGACCGCCACCGCCGCTGATGAGATTTCATAGACATTAGGGCTGGAAGGGACCTTGCAAGATCATCAGGTCCATCCCCCTGCCCAAGGGGCAGGAAGTCAGCAGGAGGCAAATGCATATAGTGCATATAGGAAGGTTGGCCTGTGGATACGCTGTGGGGCTGGGACTCTGGAGCTCTGGATTCCACTCTTGGTTCTCCTTGTCTGACCTTGGGCAAGACGCTTCATGCCTCTGCCTCACTTCTCCGTCTTCAGAATGGGGGTAGTAATATTTCATAGATTAGAAACATGACTAGCCTGGCCTCCCATATCACACAGGCCACAAAATCTCACCCTATGTTGATGCCAAGGCCGATGCACACTTTCTAGCAAGACATCCCTTCTAGGTTTGAGGTCATTGATGGATGGAGCACCTACTGATTTCCTCGGAAGTTTGTTCCAGTGATTAACTTGCTTTCCTGAGGTGCTCAAATATGGTGGCGAGGAGCAGCACAGAGAAGCCTGTATGTAAAGAAACACACTGTTGGTTGTTCCTGTTTTGCAGGAAACTATGTCTATGTGGTAGGGAAGTTCTGTTTCTGGATAAAATGTTTTAAGGGTGACTTTGGGGTTCTGCCAGTTCACAAGTTTGTATCTTCCTCTTTGGGTCTTTTGGCTTTAGATAGACAAGGAATGCCTGCAATTATTACTCACAGTGAATTTACTGTATGCCATGCGTAGGGTCAACACTTTGTTCAGGTAGGAGTGTTGATGTACTTGTGGTTTCAGGTGCCTCCAGGGGGTAATCTGATACTTGTGAAGACTGTGGGAGAGGTGATGTGGCCCATTTCATACTCTGGGCCTGTGGCTGCTACACTTATTCACAGCTGGTAGCGTTGTACCACAGGTGTAGAACGACTGATGTCAGCAGACCTGGTCCTGGCATAAAGCACCATTTAGTGAGAGTAAAGGTGTTGGCCTGTGGCTTTACATCACTTGGCTACTAGCTTTCACATCGCCTTATTTTTTCATTTCTGCAGCCTCTCTCACAGACTCAAACCCTATCCAGACTCTCCGGGATTTGCGAATCATCAACACTGGAATAGATAGCCTGAAGCTGTCCTGGAAGAAGACCCCAGGCATAACGCACTATAAGATTTCCTGGGCCCCGTTTGGTGGTAAGGGACCTGCTCCATCAGCTGTGTGCAGTATGGTGCGAGAGTGCAGGGGCCTCTGGGGGTTGGGGTAACATCAGCTCAGTTTCCCCAACTGCTTCCTCTTGGTGCTGTGGAAACAGGTGATAAGCTGGCTGTGTGGGGGGAAGAGTGGGTGCAAAACTTTGGGAAAGTCAGGTCCATGTTTCAGCTTGTAGGGCTAGTGGGGACCCCCTGGCTTGGCCTAGAGTTTTCTGTTCTTCTGTAATTTGTTGCGAATCCCAGTGTTAGCCATGATCAACATCACCCTACATCACCCCTTACTTCCCTGCCAAGCACTGATGGCTTCTCCAGGGTCCATGCCCCACTCAGAGAGAAGACAGTACATGGGCAGTTCCCTGCTGGTTGCTCTTACAAGCCTTTCCTCCTCAGTCCCTGTCTTGGATTTTCTGGCCAGATGGTGTCCTTCAACCAAGGAGTGAGTGGAGAAAACCCAGGTACCAGCAAGCTCTTTTAGTGCAGAGAACTTGTAAGAAAAGGAAGAACAAAACTTGCAAAAAAAAAAAATCATTTCCATTTTGTTTTTCAAAATATGCATTGATATTTCCTAGTTTTGAAACAAAAGCGTTTTGCAAAAATTACATTTTGGCCCATTTAGTTGAATCCTGGTGCTATTTTTAAAACAATGGTTAAAGGAAATAATATTAGAAAAGGCCTGCCTCTCTCTTAAATCAGATGTTGACTTTTAAAACAAAAACCATGGAAAGAATTGAGCAATCTGGACGCATGGTAGAGGGGATATCTTTTATTAGATGAACAAGATTTTAGCAAAAAAAAAATGCTTAATGAAAAGAATTGAGAAACTCCTTTTGTGAGTAGTTCTCAAGCTAGGAAAAGAGTCTTTTTTTTTTTACAGAGAAAATACATTTATTCTCTGCAGAAGAATTACCTTTATACAAATTACCTATATCATTGTAACAATAATAACCATTACCATTATACTTATGTGGCCTTTAAAAAAGGGTCCAACATTCATCATTCTCAGGAGCTCCTGTGATTTAAAAATGCTGCACAGGATTGAAAGCAATTCAAGTCTCACGTTCTGCAGGAGGTGTTAGGGACGACTTTCACTCTTTCTTAGTGCATTCATATTTCATACAAGGGCTGAAGTCAGAGGAGCTGAGAAGAGCAGAGCTGCCTGCACCTGCTATCAGAAGAGCTCCCCCATTACTTCTTGACTTCAAGAGACCTCATAGGTGCTTGTGAGATTTCTCCTCCCCCTTTTCATTTATATTAATACGTGCCTAAAACCCCAACATCACTCTGTAGGCAGAGATATGTATCCATGGATAATCCAGCTTCCAAAGGCAGAATAAAGCTGTCCCATGTCTCTCTAGAAGATAGCTTGTGTAAATGAATTTGCATCAAATGCATTGTCCTTCTTAAACAGGATGATCCCGTAACTAGAGCATTGGACGGGGAATCTCAGGACCTGGCTTCTGTTCCCATCTCTTTCAGCAGTTCACCTGGACTGACTATACATATGCTCGGGAGTGGAGCAGGGGAGGATTGTTTTAATTAGATCTGTTTCTGGGGAGCTGCTCTAATTAAAACACTTTGCTATCACATGTATTAAGCCCCCGCAGGTTTAAAAATGGCAGTGGGACACTTTATCTAAACCCCATCGAATGAGGTTAGATAAAGTACCCCAGTGGCCATTTTAAACCTGCGGGGGCTTATACACATGACGATGAGGCCATGCTGGAGCATTCTAATCACAGTGCGGACCAGCATGTGTATAGGCACCCCAAGCCTCGTGTAAGTCACTTAATCTGGTGTACATGTAAAATACCTGAGTGTGTTTTAACAACCCTTATAGCAGCAGGACACCGGCTGCTGTGGTCCCCCTGAGTTATGTGTGGCAGGTTTGGTTGTTATGTCTTGTGTTGTGTCAGGGTTGATTGCATTGTTTTATTAATATGTTAGACAAGGATTTGTATAGGATGGTTTGGTAAGGGATCATCCTACCCCTGGCAGGGAGTTGGATTTGATGACCTCTGGAGGTCCTTTCTAGCCCTTCTTTTCTATGATTCTTTGATTCTACACTTCTGCTTCAGTTTCTCCCCCATTGTCACCTCCTCTGAGATTGACGGAGAGAAAGTGCTATACCTCCCATGCTCCATGCAGGGAGCAGTGTTTATCCTGCTATTATTGCAAGCTGTTCAATTATTTTTTTTTTATTCTGGGTACTAATTAGGTGGCTTGGAAACCTCACAGACAGTTCCAGCAGAGCCCACATTTTTCACCATAACCAAGCTGCAGAAGAGCACGACATACAGCATCCGCATGTCTTCAGTCACTGGGGAGCGAGAGGGAAGTCCAGTGCTTCTCACTGCCAAAACATGTGGGTACCTCGAAGACGTGGGCAGGTGGATCAATAGCATGACAGCTACAAATCTAGGCCTTGATGTTTACTCAGTTTTATAGAGGGCTCTTATCATGCTACTGGCTCCACTTCTTCTACCCCTACAAACTCTACTGGTTAGATAGGCAGAAAGTAAGTATCCCAGCTGGAAGGTAGAAGCTAGGGGCCGGTTGCCATTTGGAAAGCATGAACTGCTGGCCAGATGCAGTCTACGTGTTTCACATCTTCCTCTGGAGTAGTAAGCAGAGGCCATGCCAGAGACAGGACACCAAACTCTGTGGTCCAAGGTCCTACTTGACTTTTGTAATTCCTATCTTGCCTTTTTTTCCATTTGGACCAGAATTTTGAGTCTAGCCCAGCAGGTGCTGGGTTCATTTTAGCCCAGTGGGGTTTAGAAAATCCTCCCTCATGAACCCTTTTGTCTCCCTTTGTGGATGTAAAGAATGAAATGACCACAAATTTATAATTTCTCTTCTCTTTCCTTTTTAACAGTGGATCTGCCCAAAGTGCCTATGTTCACAATTCAGGAGGCCACAGAGAGCAGTGTTTTACTGAACTGGACAGGTGTTCCTGGGGCATCGGCATACTTGCTAGCATGGCGCTTGGCATCAGGTAATGGCTCTTCGGGGTAGTACAAGGAGAGATGAGATGCGGTAGGGATATTTGTAAACTGTGATCCCGCACGGCTCCATAGAAGATTTCAGGATGAGCTACAGCTAAAAAAATCATCTTTGCTTCTCAGTCTTATTTTGTTTCCCATTACTATATCTGTTTTTAGTTCACAGCAACTTAGGAGTTGCCAATCTGGGTGAGACCTGTGGACCTTTTAGTCCAGCATCTTCTCTCCGAAAATGCCCACAGCCTATGCCACAGAAGAAAATTCAAGAGACCTATAAAGCACTCAAGGTGCAATTTCTTCCTAACCCCAGTCAATCAAGGATGAGTTTATCTACTATATCATCAAATTTTTCTATTGGTGGTCACCATCTATTTCAGCCTTGTGTCTCCATATTCACACCTGATCCTTCTTCTCAGTCCTATTCGGCTCCCTTTCTCATTTATTTCTTCCCATGAATCAGTGAATTGTCCAGTAATGAGGGCAAAGGAATGGGTGACTGTAGCGAAGATGTTTCTTGGCTTCAGTTTCCTAAAGGGATGAGGACTAATAAATGACTGAAACAAAAGGGTTTACTCCTTTAGAGTGTTTGGGGGCTTAGGCGATATAATATTTATACTGCACTTTGAGATCCATGGGTGAAAGGCAATGGAAAGAGGTGCTATGTGCTCATAACTCCCATGGCCGAACTCAGGAGCTTTTGGAGTTTTTTCCTCATATGTTCACTTTCCCCAAGGACTTTAATGGGTTTAAGGGGCATGATTTCTCCTTCTGGAGCAGCCGCGTTGATTTGACTCCAGCAAGTTGGTCTTACCCTTCCCATCAATTTCCCTGGAACAAAGATGCGTGAAGAGTCATGAAGCCAAATCCTTTTGACTCACAAATGTTTTCAGCCTTGTGACAATGGTCCTTTTGAAACACTGTGTTTGGATCCTGTCTTGTCTGCACATAAAAATACAGTGATGTCGTGATCTCTTGCACCCACGATCAACCCTGATTCCTGCGATCCGTTTATCTTTATTTGCCGAGAGGAGGTCTGAGGTAGACTTTCCCTATGCCAAAAGCAACGGTCTTGGAGTTAGCAAATTGTCATTACAGTGTTCAAATCCCAAGGACATTTCTCGTATTGGCAGCATACAACTTCCAGCATATGCCTCTCAGATTGAAGTCCCTTATGATACTATATTTTTTCCCCTGACACATTATAGGTAAGTGATATAGGAGGCTGATCATCCTGTTCTCTAGTGCAATTTGTGTGATCTACTGTGACTAGTACCCCGTCTTGTGATTTATCTGTTTGAACATTGACCCATAAGTATTCAAAATCATTTGCCTCTGAGCTGGCAGGGACTCAGAAACACAGTATGCCATTTTTGACATACAGTGCCAGGCCCGCTCTGCTTTTTGCCGCATTGACCCCTCCTGAATAGGTTATCATCACTGATTTTAACATTCGAACCATATCTGCTAAGTTGAATAACATTGGGTAGGTCAAATTTGTGCTCACTAATGAGTCATTCCAGTTTCTCTTGTTTATCATCCAGACTGCTAGTGTTAGCAGATAGGCAATTAAGGAATGTTGTCCCTTGGTGCGCTGATTAATTTTGTTCTCAGCATCTGGATTTTATGCCAAACGAACGCTCATCTGTTCTCCCTTTCCATCCTCCCCGTTTGCTGTCAGATTAAGGCCCTGCTGGTTAATCTGGCCCTGTCTTGTGGAAGATGGATTCCCCTTCTACTCATTTGGAGGTCATCCAAACCATCTAGCATCTCTTCTCCATAGAAAGCATTCTTGTCTTCCACAAAACCATAATCCCCTCTACTTAAGAACACTTACCTGGCTGGCCGTTCACATCCAGCATCTTTTATCTTCACCCAACACAGGCAGGATATTTGAGAAGAACAAGTAGATGTAACTCTCTGGTGGCACCCTTCTGAGCTCCTTGCCATAGTCTATGTCGGGGTGGGCAGCTTTTTCAGGCCATGGATCCAACCACCCTAGCTTGGGTCAGAGGCAGACACGTGCTAAAACTCATCTGCTGCCGTGGCTTCTCTCCGTCATGAGCCAGGAGAAGCCTGTCCTTGCCGCTTATCCCCACTGCAGCATGGAGGGAAGCCCATCACTGCCAACTGCTGAAGCCCCAGATCTGCAGCTTGGACCCAGTAGCTCTGAGGACCGCATCCAGCTGTTGGACCATAGCCTACGTCAGGTGAAACTATCCCACGAGTGCCTACATTCACCGTTAGCAGTGGATTTCAAGAGCCTAGCAAAACTGCAACCACATCTCAAATCTTTGCTCTTGCCCCTTGCAGAGTGGCCTTTCCCAGCCACCTCAGACACAAACCAACATCTCACTTGTCCCTCTGCCCATTCCCATGACCCTCCCAAATAGTGAAGAGCCCAAACACAGCCCACCAAGCCCCTTTACCTCCTAGCAGAGCATCCATATCTGCTCTTTCTAGCACTCCTCTGTTCACCAAACTGTGTGACCATCGAAGGAGCTCCAGGTAGAGTCCATCTGTGGTCACAATGAGTTTCTCCATCTCTCTGCTCAAGTAGTTCCCACCTTTCCTTTGTTTTCAGGTCCTGATCTTTCCATGGAGCGGTTGGCTGCCAGTTCTAGGTCGTATCGAGTGCCAGGACCAAAACTGGGAGGGACATATGTGTTTTCCATAAGGGCGGTCTTTGGAGAGATGGAGGGGCCTGAGACCAGCATCACTGAGCAGATAGGTATGAGAGGTGGAGCCTTGTGTTGCAAGGCTTCTGGGCGTCATTTCTGTTATGATTACTGGGCTGCATTAGTTGGAGCAACGCCAGCAGATCGAGGCAAGCGATTGTTCCCCTCTATTCGGCACTGGTGAGGCCACATCTAGGAGCTGGACTGGTGCTGGAGGCCACCGAAGTCTGAGGGTGTGAAGCCCCAGTGAGTAGAGATCAAGGGAGCCAGCCATGTGGGGACTGCCGCTGAAAAGGCTGGAGCGGTGGGGCATGGGCCGCCTGCTCAGGGCTGGCAGAGAAGCTGAGGTCTCTGGGGACAAGGGGGAGTTTCACCGCAGATAGTGATGGTGCCTGCTCACCACTAGAATGAGCTGGGGACTGAGAAGTAAGCACTGTGGCCAGGCTTGAGAGCAAAGCATTAGGACTTAGGATGTTTTTAACCTTTATTTTAATGTTCCCCAGTTGTGTTGTAGCGTTTTCCCCTCATTCTTAAAGTTGCATTTCTTTTATCCCTAAGTTTGCCTGTCCTTTAATGAGGTATCGCATCTCAAGGGGAATCTGCACCCTTATGGCTTTGGCCAGCTTGGGGTCCCCCATCACAGCTCAGGAAGTTTCCATGCGGACCTGATGCCATGTATTGCCACCATCATTAGTACCCTAACCAAGGTGTGATGTACATAATTCCCTTTCTCTGCTTCTGTCAGCGGGATCTCACGGGAATCCTTCCACTCCTGCTCCTACCATTACTTCTATACGAACTGCCATGGCGAGTGCCTCATTGACCGATGTGGGGAAGGCCAGGACCACTCGTGCTCTACCAGCCACCCCTATGACATTAAGAACAACCCCAGCAGCTACAGCTGCTACAGCATCTTCACCCCTGACAACTCTTGCTGGGCCAAGTGAGTTTGTAACCCCTTGTGATTCAGGGCGGATGTTATAGCCACTGCATCAACACAATGTTGTGATCTCCTCTAAGCTTGTGAGGGTATTTGGATGGAAGACTGACTCAGAAAACAGGTCATGTAGCAAGTTGTGCTGGTGGTGCTCTTTCCTCTGCTGCAAGAGCCAAACGGCAAAGATTAATGTAACTTTGAAACTATTTTGATCCACCCTGAAACAGATCAACAAACCACTTAGATCGGCATCCTGCCTAGGACAGTGCGCAGCGCCGTATCCTTAGAGGGAGGCTTGAAGCCAGCATAAGACATTCAGCAACATCCCTCAGGGTGCAAGTATTTGTATCTTCACTCAGCAGGCAATGGGATCCTCAAGACAGACTTGAATTCAACTTCTTCCCCCATAAATCATTCACAATTTCCACACACCCACCAATCTAGTTAGAGACTCATGGCTTTCTGATCAGGGACTTACAGAGCACATCTACACGAGACGCTTACTGCGCATTTCCCTAATAACACTGCAGTAACGTGTCATGGCAAAAACCATGCTAATACCCTACTGCGCAGTGTTATTAGGCTAATGTGCAGTAAGCATCACTAAATAACTGTGCACCAGTATAATGGGCAGTAACTTCAGATATTATGCATTTAGTTAGTCCTTTATTAAGGGAGTAGTAAACTAGATGCACGATATCTAAGATGCATTAATGAACGTGTAGACGTGCCCACAGAGATTTTATCTTTGCAGTCTGCGGCAGGTTCAACGCTGACATTGCATTCCTGGTGGATGAGTCCTCAAGCATCGGCCAGAGCAATTTCAATAAAGTGAAGGACTTCCTCTTCCGGATTGTCTCCTATTTCCCCAGAATTGGGCCTCAAGGGACGCAGGCAAGAGTCCATTACTCTTTCCATCTGTCTGTCTGTTGTCGGTACTTATCTTCCATGTGTACATCTTCGTAAAGCCCCCATAAGTTAAGGAAATGATATTGTTTAGTTTGGCTTGCCGCATAATGATATTGTTCCCATGTTGATGTTTTCAGATTATATCCCCTTTAAGGGAGTGGTCATTATAGTTGCATTATGTGGGCTCTGAGTGGTACTGCACAGGCAACTGTCATGTAAGTTGAAATTAAAATGTCAACCTGCATGTAGAAAAATGGTACCCAAAATACCACTCCTCCACAAAAAAGGGAATGTCATCAGGTAGAAAAAATGCAGCTATAGGAAGATCCCACCATTAAAATAAGCACAGACATTTCATTTGGTAAATTCAGCCCTGAATCAAATATTGAAGAGGAATGGAAGAAGTTATTTCCAAAAGCTGTCGGAGATCTTGGCTCTTGGACTTGACAACTTGGTGGCTAGGATCATAGAGAAGCAGGGCTGGAAGGAACTGCCGGAGGTCATCTAGTCCAGCCCCCCCATTTAAGGCAGGATCATCCCTATCCAAACTATCCAATGCAAATCCCTAATCTAACCTCTTAGTAACATCTACCATCAACCTTGACACAACGCAAGACATCATACCCTAACCTGCCACAGGTAAAGCAGGGGGGCCACAGCAGGCAACACCCTGCTTCTATAAAAGAAATGTTAATTTTCCTGGGATCTCCTGTGTGTTAATATACACTCAAGAGATCTCAGGAAGAGGGCCACTCCTCCCACCACAGGGGAAGGCAAAAACCCTCACAATCCATACCAATCTGATCATGGGGTCCAATTCCTTCCTGACCCCAGATTCCTTCCTGACAGATATGGTGCTCAGTCTGACCCTGAACAGAGGGTCTAGATAGAAAGGGTCAGACTACTTTGAAAATGGTGGGCAAATGCAGCACTTTTTACATGACAAAACTCAAAGCTCACGTGGATTTACTCAGTCGCAGCAGAGCTAAAGGCTGTCGACTTGAAATGCTACAAAATCAACACCGCAGTCCGAAGGAAGCCCTGAATGATGAAAGATACTTGGCGGCATGATAAGGCAAATGAAATTCAGTCTCTTGGAGATAAACATAAGACCAGTTTCCGTGATGCATTGCAAGAAGTTTATGGACCTAAAAGCAGCACAAGTGTTTCAGTTAAATCCTTAGACAGGATTGCACCGGTTGTGATTGCAACCCAGTCCTTGCCTGCCAGAAGGAACACTTCAGAAGCCGCCTTAATCAATCTTCTGCTGCTGAAGAAGCCGTCTTCGACGAAATTGCACAGCCCTTTGTGCACAAATGTTTGGCAGGTCCAGTCACCCCAGAGGAAATTCGAAAATCTGTCATCTGCTCCAGAAACCAAAAAGTCCCAGGAATAGAGAGACTCCTGGGTGACATTTGCAAATGTGTTTGTCTGTCATTGCATCAAGCACTTCTAAATGTTTTCCAGTAAGTTTACGGGAGACTGGGGAACTGCCTCAATGATTTGAGGAAGTGCTCCACAGCTGCACCAGCTGCAAGCCCTGATCTGATTGGTTCCTGGGCAGAGTATATAAGCCCCTGGGTCTCTTCATTTGGGGTCTGGTTGTTCAGTGCCTTGCACCCTGGAGCAGCTCAGCCTTGCTCCAGTCCTGAACCTACGTACCTTGCTCCTGCCTAGCCTGTTGCATGTCTGGACTGCCTGGCTCTTCTCCTTCAGCCTGAACTGGACTATGGACATGGATATCACTTTGGGCTAGGAGTGTAACTCTGACTCCCTGGTTTAGACCCCTTTGGCGCATCCTTGACCCCTGATCTGGATTCCCCATGGGCTCAGTTACTTGTGTTGCACAAATTGCCAATTGCCCAAATCACGACTGAGACCTTATGAGGGAGGATAAGGCAAGATGCCATGTTTATTGTTTAAGCACTTAATACACACACACACACACACACACACACACACACACACACACAC